GCAAAGCTGAATGGTAGTAAGTACTTTGCTAAGCTTGATCTGTCCGATGCCCACCTTCAATTGGATGTTGCCGAAGACTCGAGGGAGTTATTGACGATCAATACTCTTCGTGGGCTATTCCAGCACAACCGCTTTCACTTTGGTATAAAAACGACGCCAGCCATTTTTCAACAGTTGATGGATACCATGCTTGCGCGCGTTTCTGGAACTGCTGCATATCTGGATGATATCATGGTGCTACGCCATAGTGTTTGATTATATACAGTCATACGGTTTACGGATCCGTGAGGATAAATGCACATTTTTCACGCCGATCGTCAAATACCTCGGGTTTATCCTCGAAAAGGATGGACGTCGACCAGATCCGGAAAACATAGAAGCCATTAGAAAAATGCCTCTACCAACAGTCCTTGCATTTCTTTTGTGGGCTCATCAGCCACTACAGCGCATTCTTGCCTGAAATGCACTGCCTGTGTGCCCCGTTAAACAAGCTACTATCCAAAGGCCAAACTTGGAACTAGACAGCAGAATGTCAGAATACGTTCGAACCGGTCAAGACATCGCTGTCCTCAAACTTGCTCTTGACTCATTTTGATCCCTCCAAAGAGGTTCTCCTAACCACGGATGCATGAAGTCATGAGATTGGCGCAGTAAGTTCACACACTACACTGATGAATCTCAGAAAGCAATCGCCCATGCCTCTAGAACACTTACGAAGGCCGAGAGGAATTACAGCCAGATTGAGAAAGAAGCATTGGCCATAGTGTACGCGGTCAAGAAATTCCACAAAATGCTGTACTGCCGCCGCTTCAAGTTTCTGACAGATCACAAGCCTTTGCTGGCTGGAATCACCGGCACATCGTTCTCATCGTTTAGAACTACCATGGCAATAGCTTCATTCCTGGTCTGCTCTCCAACCACCTTCAGAGTGCACTTGGACTTCCTAGGAACTCTCAAGGTTCAAACTGCATGGTTGTTTTGGATGTCTACAGTGAGTACCTGAAAGTCATGATGATGCAGAAGATTACAACCGGGATAATAGTCGCGCAACTCCAGTGAGTCCTCCGTTACCGGTAGACTGTTGTTGCAAACGGTGATTTCCATTTCACCTCATCCGCTTTTACACAACATTGTAGGCTGAATAGAATTAGCCTCGCCTGGTCCTCGCCGAATCAACCTTTATCTGATGAGAGGAGGAGCGCTTTATCGATATGTTTAAACTAACAGAAGGCCCAGGAAATGGAAGTCTTGTAAACGTTTCAACTATATCATCTGTCAGCAGTAAACTTTCACGCGCCTTGGGTATCATCTTAAAATGAGGCCTCCGTGGCCAGGACATTTCCATCGCGATGATCATTTTATACTTCTGCACATTAGTTAGAGATAAGAAACACCCCAACTACTGTGCCGCAGTATAAATCATTTAGATCGTAGTACAAAGAAGAGTGGGGAAAACAATGTTTTCAAGGAGTTCTCCAATTCCCATGATTACACCGACGCATCAAGGCTTATTTTTTAGGCTGGTAAATTCCGTTTCAACCATATACGAGCTGCTCGCCACCATCTGCATTTAAAATGGGCTATCCGAAGGAACCAACACAGCGTTTAACCCTTTCTAACCCATTTTTTTGCCGTGTTTAAAAATTTAACTATGATTTCGCTAACATGCATATGTTAAATTAGGCGGATATATTTATTTTGCTTTTAAAACATTTTAGGTATGATGCAGAATCGCGACACATATGGGCAAAATAGCTACTGAATAAATTTTCTCGTCTCAGCTATATAATTGTGTCATTGATGCGGAAATTGCCCCGTTCATCCTACCTCACCATCCAAATTACCACAGATATTTCGTAACAATCAAGGAAAGTCAAATAAGGAGATTCAGTGTTACTCATGAAATTCCCCATAGCAGTTCTTCTTGCTGAGGCACAGGTGCACATTGCACTTCGTCCACTTGATCACTGTCTGGCACTGACATTTTGAACGTTTTCATCGTTGCCGTGCATCATGAACCACTGACCAGTGATCCACAGAATCTGACCGGAATTCCAGTGATGGAATACCCCCAGCTGGATCCCGGCGTTTCGTTACTTTGAATTCCGTCTCACTTGATGATAAAGGCCATCCCATTTTTCTCTTCGACATTTGTTTGCTTTGCAGGAGGAGTGCCTCTACAATTCATGCTCTGAAAGCAAGCAAGTCCTTTTGTTTCTGTAGAGGCGCAGCCAGCGAATCACAACCACATCGATAGAGTAACGGGCTGTTGATTGATGCCATGTCGACAAAATGGAAAAGAACCTGTGGTAGTATTTTCCGGACCTGATATGGATCCGACAATAAGCAATCAATGCATCCAGGGCATCAATGTCATCCATGAACTTATTATACAGGGTGATGACGCTTGGACGCTCCACAGATACCTCAGCTTTCAAATTTCTGTTCCGTCTTTAAATATTACAAACTGGCTGAGCACTGGCAGAAGTACTGGCAGCAAAAACTACTTTGTTGTCAAGCCATTTGACAACTTTGCTTCTATAATGTCAACTATTACTGTCTTTTTCATACGTCGCTCTGCCCTTTTTCTTCATGTCCGCATCTTCACTGAAGCTGCACTCTTGTAGGTGATTTTGCTGTACTGTCCCTAGGACTGGTAATCCCTTCTCCGCAAGTGCAACAAATAAACTCAAGCCGCACAACCTGATGGTAGCTCGCGTACCAACTGCGACTTTGAAGGGAATCTTGTCTAGACCTAAAGGAAAACTGGACGCACACGAACACTAAAATATCGTCTACGGGATACAGTGCGAGAACTGTGAGAAAGACTATGTGGGTCAAACGGGGAGAAAACCATCTACAAGAATACAAGAGCACAAGCGTGCATCTCGATACCATTACGCATCGTCACAGATCTCAGCGCATCTCGATGAGGAAGGACACAACGTTAACTGTGACAACACAGAAATTCTGGCGCACGGAGGGACAATAAAAAGAAGAGAATTCCTTGAGGCATGCTTCTCTACGGAGAATTCAGTGAACCTCTGCATTAATCACGATGCTGTGTACCTACAGCCGAGAAAGCGTGAAACCAGGCGGCCGAAAATCGAACAACCAGAATTCACGGGACTCTGATCGACGAGGCCAATTTCTGACACTTTCCGTGGGATTTATCTCTACGCAGCAGTGCACTGAAGATGCCACTGAGCAAACTGGTGAAACATTTGCCATTAAATCACTTAGCTCAAAGAACGAATCAAAACGTTAAGAAAAGAAGCTATCAAAATATAGTAAATTGTTGACATTGGACCTAATAACTTGTGCAAATTGTATAACAATGTTTCCACTTATACCGATGTCAGGTTTACCAGGAACAGGGTCATTTTCCCTGTGAGTATATCATCAATGCGCAAGTTCTTTTGTATTGCAAAACACAAAGATTTTGTATCCCAACTTGTATGCTTTCTTCGGTATATATTGCTTCAGGCTGGACCTACCTTTGAATGGGACCATTTGATCGTCAACCGGTAACACTTGGTCTTGATAGAGTCTCTGAAATTTTGAAATCCATGCACTGGAATTCCATTTATAGAACAATGAACCTAAACACGGTATCTACCAATAGTGCCGAATGTGACGAAAAGGGTACATACCATCCTATTGCTAATAACTTCTAAACTTTCCATCTCAGGTAATTCATTCTGCTAGAATCTTGGTAGCAGTGTACAAGAAACAAGTAAATATTTTTTGATTCCGCATAACCTACCTCCAATGTAAGTGTTCCCGAAATTATGAACCGAAATTCACATCGTACCCACGTTCACACCCACTACTTTCAAGTAGTCGTAACTTCAAGTCAAACGCAAAAGTGCGATGAACTGGTACACAGAATTCAATGCACATCCCGAAAATTCCAACACTGGCACTGCAGGAAACTATGTGCATTGTAAGCTGCATTTGCGAAAGAAATGGTATGTGGCGTTTTCGCTAGCTACGGCGTTAACTGGTTAAAGTAGTTGACCTCATCGGATTGTGTTTGAGTAGAAGCGATATCCCTACTGTTTCTGGTCCATGGAACATCCCCACAACCATTCCGGTCTTAGGCTGTGAACATTTGGCTAACCTGGTACTGTATTCGATAGAGGCTAGCAACATCAAGGATCTTGCGAGCCGAAGGCACAAGCATCTCGAATGCTAACGAAATCGCGGACCAATATTGGAAAGCCGTACGAATATTTCTACGACCCTGGCGAAGCTGAAGTTCACATATCGCCGTCGACCTATCCCTTATTCTCCGTGAGTCATGACACTGCATCCGAACTAGAAGGGGGCACATGAGATTGTCAATAGACGAGGCCCACTATATGCGATTACTTGGCAGAGGTTAACAACAAGTTCCCCTAAGCGGATTGATGACGTGAAATGGCGAATGAAAGACCTCCACAGGACCAACTCACTAGAAGCTTGTGAGTACCCGAGACCGGAAGGATGAGGAGTCTGCCTTGTAACACAAAAGGTTACCGGTTAGCATCTGCGTATGGACCGGGTGAGCTCATAGTATCCCAAGGCTGCGCGCGACTGATGATTGTCACGTGGCAGCGAAGCGTCGGTACGGCGCACCAGCGTACTGTTGACGCCTTTTTTTCTTACTCACTGGGGGACTCCTTATGCAGTAGGAGTGCACAGCACCCATGTGTTTGAATGTGATAGGCACTGAACTATTCAGCTGCAACTCACCGACTGTCGGCTTTCTTTGTAGCAAAGCGAATTCATTTTTTCTTACTCAGTCCTTTCTTTTCGTCACAATGAATCATTTCTTTTCAACTCGTTAACCGAATCTTGTTTCGTATGGGGTGAAATTATTTGGACCGAAATGGCTATCACCACTGTAGTGCTGATTACAGTCAAACGAGAGTCCAGGTTACGTACGGTTGCCAGTTATGCTTTTGAAGTAATGCGCCTCACAAATACCTGTTGTTTTTCTTTACTTTTTTTTACAGAGTCTTACTGGGGACCTAGACAATGCAATCAAACACCTTACAGCTTACCATGAGATTTGGAAGCAGTACGGCTTTATTCCAGAGGCTTATAATGTCGTATCGGGCGAAGTTGCGTCAAAGCGAGAGAGCTACCATCTCCGTCCCGGTAAGTAAATAATTATTTAAATCTTTTCACCATGTGTTTGAGCTCTCGTACTTTCTGCTAAAATTCGCCATACTGTACTTGACTTACAACGCATTTATGCTCGAGAGCAATCGCTCCGTGTGGGTTGCCCTTCGACCACTTGTCTCTTGAAAGTGCCTGTTGTATTGTTTCCGGGTTAATGTATGCTTGGTTAACTCCGTTTTGATCTTTGTTGATTTCGGGTCAGTAATTGGGGTCGCGAGAAGTACAAGGGAGGCAGGTATCAGCAGGAGCATATGTTTACTTCTCCGCCCGGTATGCAGCAGACACAACAATGCCTTCGGAGCTGTGCCACAGGCGACACAGCATATGTTCGAAGTTTAATGATTGGTTGTACTTGTTCTGGGATTATACCAGCGCACCAAATCTTAGGTAAGGGGTCGACTATCTCCTCACTCAGAGCCCACGGCTCAAAAGCCTGCAAGCCACTGGAGAGATGTAAGTGATCTGATTTTACAAAATTGAACACCATCCAATATCTAAACCCCAACCTGGAGGATCAGGAAACTGAGTGCGTCTGACTTCTAACTGCTAACCAAACTAGAAGGAACAGATCTCAAGAGGCTCGGGACACCATCAAGTATGACGCCATTGATCAAAAATGCACTTAACTTTCGAATCTCGTTAAGGTCCAGTCTCGTCACTTATCACTACCGACTGTCTTTTGTTGTCACCTCCAGCATGTCATGAAGATGGCTCTGGAAACCACTGATTCTTAATTTGATACACCCTAGTGTGACATATATATATATATATATATATATATATATATATATATATTGCACTCATGATGCCTCTTCACCTCAGTTGGGCTAAACCAACTTACATTTGGTCCTTTTACGCTGGATAAAGTTCACTCCACTTTATTTACTTTGTTCTCCCTACCTGAATAATCTATTAACTTGCACACGCTGCCTGCGCGAATTGTGGTTATCTTCGTTAACTTTATCGCGTTTGTGACCTTTTTTGATTAACTTGTGGACATTTTGTACTTATCGCGGATTCGTTGCTCACCAATTTACTTCATACGCTAATTTAGTGGAGTTGTGTTTGTATAGCCGTATGCTTTAACAGACATATTTTATTTGATGTCATTTCAAGTGATTGGCCGTTGCTTGATATCCCCGGTGTGGCTGTGCTTGATGTGCATGTTGACAAGGTGCATATCTGTCTATTACCCACTACCACCTGGTCCATACGGGCTCCAGGAGACAGTTGGTCATTGCTAGAGAGGACGGAGTGCACGGTATTTGTGACCGTGTTAGGCTCGAAAAGTGGTTCCATGCACTCAGTGTGGAGCGGACTACGGCCCAGCCACCGCCTTGTGTGCTCTTGATTCCCCAAATACAGTTTGCTTGTGTTTGCCTGTGAAGGAATGTGGGCCGGCTATGTTGATGAAAAGTGACTCCCATCCACACGCTTCTTGGTCTTATTCCTGTGGCTGTCCCGGTGGACGCCACAGGACGCATACGCCTACAGAGGGACCATGGGTGGCTTGCGCTACACCATCCACAGTTCCATCCACACCCCCATATCCAGTGTAAACCCGAAGGAATAAGACCGCAAGGCGTGTGGATGGGAGCCACGTTTCATCAGCGGAGCCGGCCCACACTCCTTCAAAGACAAACACAAGCACGCTGTAGATGGGAATCAATCGCACACAAGGCGGTGGCTGGACCGTAGTCCGCTCCACACTCTGATGCATGGAACCACTCTTCGAGCCTAGCACTGCCACAGGGACTGTGCATCCCTCTCAAACGATTCACAGTCTCCTGGAGCCCGTAATTGAGGTGGAGGATGTTAGACAGGTAGGCACACTGTCAAATGCGCATTAAGCGCAACCACGCCTGGGATGTCAAACATCAGTCAACCAATTGCAATGACTATATCAAATTATGGTTATAAAATAAAACAAAACGGATATACCGACTTAACTCTTCGTTAAATGAGCATCTGAAATTATTGGTTATCAGTTAATCCGCGATAAGTTCAAGATGTCAGAAAAAGTTATCAAAAAATGCTACAAGCGCGAAAAACTTAACGTATTTAATTAAAATCTGCTTAAGCGACGTATATAAGTAAAACGAAGCTTATTCAGACATTTAAATGACTCCACAAAGTAAGCATTTACAATCTATAGCAAACCGAACACCTGAAATAAAGAAACTTAGCACGCAAGCACGCGGTTAGTAAATCGAATGCGGCGTACCTACAGACGCTGCGCCGGCTCTGCCTACATTCTCAGCAGGACCCTTCGTCTTTTCGATGTTGGTCCTGAGTGGCCTCGCTCGTGGCTGACTAGGCCTGCCTGACTCAGGCACTCGCGACCGCATGTGCTACAACACCATGCGCTCGACGTCGATGGAGTACACCCCATCGGCGCCTGTCGCTTTCGCAAGCTGCCGCTTCTTTTCCACATGCACGAGGGCTTTCTCTTGCACCTCGCCAACTGCCTTCGTGTTCAGATCGCGCCATGCAGGCCGATCAATCGCCTTCGATTCTCATGACTTGAAATCAACCTTGGGACGTGATATGCTCATTTGATCATATCCTGGTAACGAAGCTTCGGTTTCCCCACATGCTACTTTCCAACACTCAGCTGATCATATAATAACTGCTTCGGTATCCGTGTCAAATCCATACGCCACACATGACCGAGCCACCTCAAGTATCTCAGCAAAAGTATGCAGTCCACTGCCTACATTCCACTACGGCGCAACACTTTCGTGTCCGCAACTCTGTCACACCAACCGATGCGCAGAATCCGTCGCAGACACTGTTGATGAAGCCGCTCGAGATACATCACATCTCGCCGGCACGTCTTGCACGTTTCGCTACCGTATAGAATAACGGACAGCACAATGGATTTGTACACCATCAGCTTCGTGCCGACGGTAAGCCGGTGGTTATTGCACATTCGGCACTCAAGTTTCCCGAATGACCATGCTACCTTCGAGACGCGGGTACGCGGATCACTGTATCTACTGGTCAATCAAGACCACACTCCCAACATAGTGGAAGCGGGAGGTGGTTTCCAACACTTCAGCACCAATGCTGATTAGCGGAAACATTGCAGATTGCACCTTCGGTGAAACCTGCACGTCTTCAAAAATCAGTACGGGGCAGGTAGATGTCGATCCTGCAGTAGGACCTTGCATTTCGATAGAGCGAAAGTCATGCCATGCTTGGAGACTTCAATCACCAAGCAGTTTAGAACGATTTGCATGATATGTAGGTCGTAACCAAGGAAGGCGATATCATCAGCATAGTCCAAATTCTGTCGCGCGGTTACCTGGAATAAGCTCTACACAGGCACCCTGGAGACCTTCTAAAGCACTTAATAGGACATCCTCAGTCGCGAAGTTGAAAAGAAACGGGGACATGGGACATCTCTGTCGCATACCGCTAGTGACGGCGAAAGGTTAAGAGGACTTGCCATAAGCCTTCATTATACTAGGGACATTGTTTTATATGGCTCGAAGTAAGGCGGTATACTTTTCGAGAACCCATTCCTTTGCAAACGACGCCACCGAACAGGGCGGTCGACCGAGTCGGACACAGCTCGGATGTCCAAAAAGGCGACAATGTTAGGCTGGCGACAAACGTGGCGCTGCTCGAAGAATTGGCGGAGCGTAAACATGTGATCCACACACCGTCGGCCGGGGGCGGAAACCAGCCTGTTCCTCACGGACATGTAGCTCTCGAATCGGTGTTAGCCTGTGCAGTGGAATGGATGTTAACAATTTGGAGGCGATGGATACTAACGTGATTCCTTTGTGATTGGCGCGAATTACATGCACCCTTTTTGAATATGGGTACGATAATCGACTCGCCCCAAGAGGATGGGACCTTCTCTTCACACCAGATCTTCGAGAACAGAGCTAATAACTGGTTGTCATTCGCCTCACCACCGTACTTGAACAGCTCCGGAGGAGGTCAGTCTGAGTCAGCAGCTTTGAATCGCTTCAAGTGACCAAGCTCAAGGCGGATCTCCGTTTCGGTGCGTGGTTCTAGTGACACGTTCCAGGACGCGCAAGTTGGCTTTCTTGTTAGACAGGAGGAAGGATGAGGCCAACTGACCTGAGAGTGGAAGTGCTCAGCGCGGCGGTCCATGCGCCTACGTAAACTAGTGATTGGTGACCCAGCATCCTCGCAAATAGTTTCACTGACGGCAGTTCTTTTGTGGCCAGTGGTCCGAATGATCTGGAAAAGTTTACGAAAATTTCCATCGACATCTGCTGTCTCCATCTCAGAAGTGCAATGAAACCACCAAGTTTCGCAGGCTCTGCTTTAGTTGTTGACTGAGGTTGCGCGGACTCCATCGCAGCTTGAATCAGCTGGGATATCTCGGCGACGGTCAAACAATTCCAAAGAGCGAGCGGAGATCCAGCCTCTTAGGATGCCCAGCGATTCCGCGATCTGATTGGTCGGAAGCAAGCAACTTCTTCTTCAAGAAGTTCCAGTGATGTTCGACATCTGTAGGTGGGGCACGAGCGAGCGCATCTGATAAGGAGGATTGATAAGCCAGCTGAATGTAGGATTTAGCTATCCTATTGGTATCTAACGTACGGTGCTTTGGTTTCGAGAATCCACCAAAGCGCGTGCACAGACTAGAGTCGAGGTAGGTGGACTAAATCGATCTGTATTCCCGTACACTGCCCTGCCATCTGATTGTGACTATTCTTGTCTATGGGAAGGGTGACGCCAAGTAGCGGCGCGTCTCCTCGAATGCCTGAAGTTCGTGCTCGCGAGAAAGAGCCGGTTGTCCTCAATTAACGTGAGAAGCCTATCTCCGTTTTCAGGTCAACTCTCATCAGGAGCGTGGCTTCCGCAGATGATGCTGGCATGGCAGCAGAAGACCGACCCGTGCATTGAAGTCTCCGGCAAGTACGATAACATCGGATTTTTCGGTTTTACTTAAAAGCTGGTGGAGTCTGCGATAGAAGTCTTCCTTAGCCGATGCGCAACTGCCGTCGGTTGGAGCGTAGGCAGAAACCACAAACAAGTTGCGTCTCTCTGTACGATGCCTATTGATCTTGCATGAGCCTTGAAGTCGAACCGCACACAATCGGCTGTCAATCGGGAACCAATCGAGCAGCGAGGCCTTAGCTTTTTTACTCTGTGCGATGCAGAACATTTTACGTGCGTTGACGCGAATACCGTAGGCCGCGTCAATGGCTACGGTGGCTTATCAGATATCTTTCCGACGACAAGTGGCGTTGCTCAGAGTTGTCCAATTTTACCGTTTTTGTTCAGTTTCGTCGTGGACTCCATCATAGAGTGTTCCCTTGCGGAGCCTCACGATGCAGGCGTTGAGGTTATGCCTGGTGAAAAGCTAGTTGATCTTGATTATGCTTAGGATATTGTTTTCCTATTGAACGATGTTGGGGTGGTCAAGTCAACCCTGAATAACCTCTTTAGAGTGGTCTCACCATTTTTCATGCGCTTCCCATCATAAGATTACTGGAACACCAGCTATTTGATTACTCCTTGACCCTTGATATTAAGGAACTCGAGGTATCTGATCAATTCACTTACCTGCATCACCAATGTTGGGCGTATAGCAACTAAAGTTAGTTTGTGCATTTAGAGAGCTGGAACTGCTTCATTCAATCTGCGACATCTCTGGCATCAGAAACGAGGTTCTCGATTTGAAAGACCGTGTTTACAAGGTCATTGATGGCCGTCCTACGGTATGGTAGTGTGACTTGGTCCCTGCGATCTGAGGACGCCTTCAAGTCTTTGATCATCACTGCCTGCAAAGCACTGCTGGTGTCGGATGGCACCAGCGTGTGCGCAAAGATGATGTGCGTAGGCGAATGCTATACAGTGGTAATCAGGCTACTTCTTAGAACAACAGCATTGAATAACCTGCGTTGGCTTGGACACGTACTACGTATGCCGGGTCACTGCTTACAGAGAGAATTGTCTTATCTGCCAGATTTAGGGGAGTGCTATGCTCGAGATAGACGAAAGTGGACTTGGCAGCTGGAAATGAAGTCACTGACAACCGAACTATGTGTCGTCGTTCCGGCTCCCCTTCCGAGAAGAAGTCCATGTGACTCGCCTTGTGCTGGACTCGAGACTTTACAGGACATGGCTCGCAGTCAACGACAGCGGCACGTGTACTGTCGTCTTTTAGTCGGGCTGCCATTTTATCGTATGCTTGATGCCGAGTTATCTGTGAGGTAACGTCTGATTATGACCGTGCAGTGGAAGCCGTAAGGAAGCTGTCTCGCTAATGCCACCTTATCGTTGCAACATAACCAGCTGTTTGTGACGGTATGTTGTTCGCCAAGTGTAGGCGTCTTGACCCCTAGATGTTTGCTTAGGGCATTAAGGTTTCACGATTGCCCCCCTTTTCTCCCTTTTATTATTCTTTGTCCCACATGTCACTATGCTTTTGTTTCCTTCTTATTCTGATCCTGTTTTCGTATTCCTCACAACTGTTGGCATAGAACCATTCGGTATTCGCTGAACCGCAGGTTATGCTTTATCCAACTTGACGACGTCATCATATGTCACTGTTGATGTACATCACTCCGCGTTTGCCGTTCATTCAGACACTATCAGACATGTGTACGTGCGATTCGTTCTTCACGCTTCAGAGAATGCAATCGCTTGTCATCTGTAGTGCCAGTCTAAATCATCGTTGCTACCGTCGAACGCGATGGGCTAACCGTATGCCCGTTGGAATTGACTCCATTGTGCTACGCACGAGGTAATTCAAACCGCTTGTCCCCTCAGGATTAAGTGCATAAATGGCAGATGGTTTTGTTTAGGAAGATGGTTCTGCCGAATATTCGGTGCCCACAACCACTTGAATCTACATCTGACTTGTAGTCTCGGCGACATTTCTGCAACCATTTGTAGCCGTAGTCGAGTTTAGTTTATTCATGTATTTTTTGCATAATACTGGTTGGGGATCGCTAAACTCTGAATTCGTTAGGCATTTGTACGTCGATTATGCCGCGGCTGAATAAACATCCAAACTCCCCTACTTTCTGTAAGGGTGCGAAGACCAAAGTGGAGGGTTTTGGTGTTGCTGTCTTCCATCCCCGCATTCCACGCCGCGTTTCGTCCTTGTTTGGACTCATCAAGCCCGCAAAAAGATAAAACGCGGCGTTGAGTGCGGTGTTAGTTGTGAGCCACACCGAAATCATCCCCTTCGGATACAGTTTCTGTGATCGGAATAACAGAGGCTGACTTCAAAGTCATCCGAGGCCACAATTGCGATTACGTGTCACAATTCAAGATACAGTGTGAGTGCTTCAAAACCCGACAATATCAATGTAGAGATTGAGTTTGTTGGCCTTCTAGGTGGTCTGATGTTGGTGGCTTCTTGCAACTGCAAGCGGACACAACGTTACCCAAAGGATCATGTAGTTGCGAAACCCGGGCGTTAACAATAATCAGCCGTTATCAGATAGCGACATTTTGGTAATCCTTTACATGTCTACCAGAAATCTACCTGTCGCATTTTTGTAAACAATCAGGAGTAAAACTGCTTCATATCATCAGATCGGTGGGCCCCTTTTTCATTTTTATCATGCAGAATTCACAGAATCGGTGTACTATTTGTACAGAGCTACCAAAGACCCTATGTTTATCCGAATGGGCATTGACGTACTGACTTCCATCGAGAGTGTCGCTCGCACTCCGTGTGGATACGCTACGGTGAGTCTGTGACATGTGCTGCATCACCGTTACCCCTCCATGCATTTTGCCATATTCACCCAACTATCATGAACCACACTGGTTCTTAGCATCATTGTATTACCAGATGAGCTGTGCTCAAATACAGGTACGCTGTCACATGAGCCTGCAGGGTGCTTGGATAGCTGATCGGTTTAACTACTTTGTCATCCCGATATATATATATATATATATATATATATATATATATATATATATATATATATATATATATATATATATATATATATATATATAAATCGCGTGATCAATTCTACACTCAGTTATCCTCCGTGATATGGTCTGTGCCGTAGAGCGATCGACTAGTTCTGCTGGTTGATTTCAACACGCGCGTTGGGTGTGATGTATCGGTGGGGACAGATGTTATCGGTACGCATGACATTGGTTCAGCGAATGCGAACGTTGATAGGCTGCTCTCACTGTGTGCCACTCACGGTCTGACGACCACCAACACTCGGTTTACACTGAATGCGATTGATGTAGCAAATTGGACGCACCCATGGAGTGGTCACGCTCACATGTTCGACTATGTCATTGTACGTCAGTGTGATATGCGTGAACTGCGCATGACACGTGTACTGCGTGGAGCTGAGTGTGGTAATGACCACAAATTGGCGCGGACCGAATTGTACATATGTTTTCGTAAATCTATGTATTGCACTCCCGCCATGAATCGGGGTAAATTTAACACTCTCACCTCCGGTACTGTGACGAAACGTATTGAGCTGGAGAATGCACGACTGTACGACTGTGTGATGTGGAATGCATAGCCACTGTAGTTGACTTGTGGCACCACATTCGCGACCAGGTGACAGCTGCTGCCGAGGAGATCATTGGGGGCGCAAACTTTAAGCTGTCTGATTGGTTCGATGTGAACAATGCGACGACTGGCGCATTGGTGTCGGAGAAGAATGCAGCAATTGGTGCACATGTGGTAGACCCCAGTGACTTAACGGAAGAATAGTCAGTTTCGCAAACATCGACAGTAGGTCGTTTCTGGAGGGGACGTGGTGCACGGTCCCATTGGCCGTGCTACGCTCGAAAACTGGTTCCGTGCACCGGAGTGTGGAGCGGACTGCGGTCCAGCCACCGCCTTGTGTATGCTTGGTTGTCAAATACATCGTGCTTGTGTTTGCCTGTGAAGGAGGGTGGGCTGGCTACGTTGATGAAACGTGGCTCTCATCCGCATGCCTCCCGGTCTTATTCCTTCGGGTTTACACTGAATATCGGGTTTGTGGATGGTGCAGCGCAAGACACCCATGGCGAAAGGTGAAGCCCTCATTATACTAGGGACATTGTTTTACATAGCTCGAAGTAGGGCGGTATACTTTTCGAGAACCCATTCCTTTGCAAACGACGTCACCGAACAGGGCGGTCGACCGAGTCGAACACAGCTCGGATGTCCAAAAAGGCGACAACGACAGACTGACGGTAAACGTGGCGCTGCTCGAGGAGTTGGCGGAGCGTAAACATGTGGTCCACACACCCTCGACCAAGGCGGAAACCAGCCTGTTCCTCACGGGCATGTAGCTCTCGAATCGGTGTTAGCCTGTGCAGTGGAATGGATGTTAACAATTTGGAGGCGATGGATATTAACGTTATTTCTTTGTGATTGGCGCGAGTTACGAGCACCCTTTTTGAAAATGGGTACGATAATCGACTCGCCCCAAAAAGATGGAATCTTTTCTTCGCACCAGGTCTTGGAGAACAGAGCTGTTAACTGGTTGACAATTGCCTCTTCACCGTACTTGAACAGCTCCGGAGGAAGTTCATCTGAGCCAGTAGCCTTGAATCGATTCAAGTGACGATGCGTCAAGGCGACTCCGTTTCCGTGCATGGTTTCAGTGTAACGTTCCAAGGCGCGCAAGTTGGCCTGTTTGTTAGACAGGAGGAAGGAGGAGGCCAACTGAACTGAGAGTGGAAGTGCTCAGCCAAGCGGTCCATGCGCCTACGCAAATTAGTGATTGGTGATCCACCAGCCTTGCAAATAGCTTCACTGACGCCAGGTCTTTTTTGGCCAGTGGTCCGAATGATTTGGAAAAGCTTGCGAAAATCCCTAGTGGGAGTTGTTGTCTTCATTTCCGAAGCGCACTGAGACCACCAAGTTTCGCGATCGTTACACAGGCTTTGCTTGAGTTGTTGGTTGAGGTTGCGGCGGACTTCATCGCAGCTTGAATCAGCTGGGATAGCTCGGTGACGGTCAAACAATTCCAAAGAGCGAGCAGAGATCCAGCCTCTTAGGATGCCAAGCGATTCCGCAATCTGATTGGCCGGAAGTAAGCAACTTCTTCTTCAAGAAGTTCCAGTGATGTTCGACATCCGTAGGTGGGGCACAAGCGAGCGCATCTGATAAGGAGGATTGATAAGCCAGCTGAATGTAGGATTTAGCTATCCTATTGGTATCTAACGTACGGTGCTTTGGTTTCAAAAATCCACCAAAGCGCATGCAAATGTCCGCACAGACCAGAGTCGAGGTAGGTGGACTAAATCGATCTGTATTCCCGTACACTGCCCTGCCATCTGATTGTGACTAGGTTGTGTCAATAGACAAATGTAGGAATACTTTATCCTGAGATCAACTGGGGACGACTTCTTAGCTATCTTTCTGGGATTCTGTAACCGGCTCTACGAATGATAATAGTCTTCAGTAGCGAGGGTCCCCAAGGTGTACACTATGCCGGCTTCTTGTTTGATCTACATGAGGGTTATGACCTCGATTGCCGCCATCCGCGATGGAAGACGAACGATTGCTACTGGTCTGACGGTTTGAACATATGCGGGGCTGTCATCCGAGATAGATGCTAGGGAATTATTGGTGAAGATAGTATTGGCGTGGGATGGAAGTGCTTCAGCGGTCATCAGCTCAGGAGCGTGAGAGGACCACATCAGTAGCAGTAATAGTATTTGCGAAGCAGTCAGGATACCTCGCCCACTACCATTCAGGATGCCTCGATATTAATGTTAATCAGATGAGCACTTGAACATGCTTTTCTCACACCGTTCCTTAGCATAAAATTCCATTTGAATCGGCCAATCAGGGCGGATCTCGAAAGTCAGTTGAGTTTTTGTAAGAGACCGTGCGGAATGTCACGGCTTACGTTATCTTTGATTTTAGGCTCCCTGTCACACTGCTTCACTTTACGCCATATCGGTTCACTCTGTACGGAAGCGGAGTGTTCAGTCGTGCATGGATCCATCATTCTAGAGCACGCAGTAAACACGGAATCTTTGTTGTCCACCCCTAATCGATAGACATATGTGCAGCAAATAGTCAACTCGGAGTCTTAACAGCACTATGCATAACAAACTCCATGCCCCATCAGGAACGAACCGGGCGCTTTCACTGGATATAAAAATGTCAAAAAGACTTCATTGCGGCCCTTATACGCGTTATGCAGCAACTCTATACATACGTGCTCCAATTTTGAAACTCAGTAACATGAAAACTGTCCGTCACAATTCTTGCAACTTTGAGTCAGTACTCGAATCCACATGTCGCCGCGATCCGTATATTAATCAGTGTAGCGCTTACATTTACCATACAGCGATAAGGGGCTGGCTTGCCGAACTACCTCCCCGTGGTGCCAGCTGGGTGGTTCGGGTGTACCCCGTTCCAGCAAAGTGTTCGGCGACAATGTTCCACCTCCGTGGGGCATTGTATTCCAGCAATTGTGCTGACTTCATGGGGAGTATTGGGCCCCTGTTTGGTAATCTACCAAACAAAGGCGCATGAGCTGATCATTCAGTCAACGCCTCCCAATGGGCGCGATTCCCTAAATTCGCCCCGCTGCCTTGCGGGTAGGTTATTTAGCCAAAGGCTCGGGTGGAGTCCCTTAAGTCAACTCCCTACTTCGGCTTGGGCAACCGGGTAGTAACACGCCCTCTCACAAAACCATGGACTGTTCCACAACGCGCTCATCAGCTACTATTCCTGCTACTCACCTTCACGCTACTCCATCACACGCCAATTGTTTGTTTGCTAACAATCCTCACTTTCGGTTACCCGATTCATCTGTTCAACAATCTGGCTGCGATTCCGGTTGCTCCGCAGATCAAGGAATTCAACCTATGGCTCTCCTTCGTCCCCAATCCTCGTTCCGTCTAGCGTGCTTCAACGTCCGGACACTCATGTAGATTGGACAGCAAGCCGGTCTAGCGCGCACCCTAGATTCCCTAGACATTGATGTCTGCTGTCTTTCAGAAACCCGATTGCAAGATCCCAGCACTGTGCTTACATTGACATCCCCCACTGACCACGAAGCCAGATATCACCTGCGTCTTTCTGGAGATCCAGAAGCAAGCTCAACGGGTTTGGCTGGTGTAGGTATAGCACTGAGTGGCAAGGCCGAGGCGGCACTACTGGACTGGTTCCCGATTAACAGCCGACTATGTGCAGTTCGGCTTCGGGGTTCATGTAGAATCAACAGGCAACGCGAAGAGAGACGCAACTTGTTTGTGATCTCTGTATACGCTCCAACTGACTGCAGTAGCGACTCGGTCAAGGACGATTTCTACCGAGATCTACAACAGCTCTTGACTAATGCTAAAAAGTCGGATGTCGTTATCCTTGCTGGGATTTTAATGCACGGGTTGGCCGCCTGTTACCATACGAACGCCACCTTGGTGGTCATCACGCGCTCGATGAGAACCGCTCTGATAACGGAGAGAGACTTCTCACATTGTGCGAGGACAACCGTCTGTTTCTCTCGAGCACTAGCTTCAGGCGTACGAAGAAACGTTCCGCAACTTGGCGTCCCCCATCGCCATCACAACCTTGGTCTCAAATTGATCACATTGCAATTAGCTTCAGATGGCGCGGCAGCGTACTGGACTGCAGGTCCTTTTGGTCCACTTTCGTTGATTCAGATCATGCTCTGGTTTGCGCGAAAATCTGTATGTGTTTTGGAGGATCCCGAAACACGAAGCATCGCAAGATTGATGTAAACAGATTAACTGATTCC